TTTGCATCTGAACTCTTCATATACATCCACCCTAATGAATTATTCCGCACTACTGATTTTTTAAACATACGTATGAGATATGAACACACGCAGGAGAAATAACATCTGCTGTCTGTAAATTAGCAAAGGCAAGTTAAGGCTAATTAACGTTTATTTTGCTGGCCTTTGGCTTATTTCCCATTGCCGATGCCACAGCGGGAGGATGGGAGCGGGTCGCCATAAGAACTTAACTTTACACTGGAGTGCATTCTCACCAGCATATTTCTCTGGCATACTGTAGTTTTGGCATTGGGTTTGTATGCTGACAACAGGAATTACAGAGCTATTCTGGCACAGCACGACTCCGCTAGTAGAGAAGCGTCTGCCAACAAGCAGTCACACTATAAAGGTATATTGATGATAGAGTTAAGGGCGACAGCGAAGGATTTTTACCCCAAATATTAGCTTTACTGAGCTCAAGAGTTTAGAAGTAGCAAGCAAACAAATGTCAATCAATTTTGGCTTTAGAGAATCAACAAAAAAACTAATTAATTGTAAACATTTACTCAGGTTAGGGCTGCACGATTAATCGAATTTTAATCACGATCACGATTTTGGCTTCCCATGATCAAATTCACGTGATCGAACGATACCGAGTGGAATACCAATTGTATCTGTGCGCGAGAGAGACCGAGTGTGAGCATTAGTAAAATGCATTAATGAATTGGTACATACTATATAAGAGGCATTAAAGTTTGATTAATGGACTCCAATAATCAGTAGGTCTACTACAAACTTCTTGTTTTGAATTATTGTTTAATAAATAGAAATAATTCAATCACATAAACTTTCATTTAGAGGATTAAATAGATTCAATTTATGCAGTAAGATTTCACAACTAATCACTGACACTGTACCACAACATTTTACATTTCTTAAGCGTCAAATAACAATGACTCTGAATTTCATCCATTAGTCAGTCCCTCCAGAAAAACGCGATTATGCGATCGCTAAATTCAATGCAAAATCAGCCAAAGTCCGCATATTTATGCGGGGGCCGCATTTTTTTCAAATACGACACACTTTCGCCACATAAATTGCCGATTTCAGTGAAAAATATGCAGGGTTTGCATAATTTCATAATCCTCGCATTTTCGTTGCAAAAAAAGTCACATGCATCTTAGCAGAAAGTTGAAAAATGTTGCGTTTGCTTCACACAAGAGCAGCCATTTCCCCCTGTTTCCATGGGAACGTTATGAAGTGACGCAGTTACGCGACGCCAGACAGACTCACGGAGGCGATTGACATCTCACAAATCGAACTCGTATAACTGTCTGTCACATGTTCTACCATGACGTTGTTACTTAATAAACAACATAAGATAAAAGAAGTAGCATCAAACAGAAATTACCCGCACAAATGGGGTGTTCGAGGCGCACATCTAACACTGCAGAGAGTTCAACAGGGAGCGCGCAGCTCTTAAAGGGGCCACACCTTATTTACACTCGTTACAGTCTGAAATAAAACAAGATGAGAAATTAAATATTCCCAGCACTTTCTATGATGTAGTATGCTTGCTTATCAAAGGAAGTAATAAGAAATGACTCTTACATTAGCCTAGTGAGAACAGGATGTTGGGGGAATCACTTTTTTTCTCTTTTTCATCAAACCGCAATTTTTGCAAGTTCCCTCAATTTTTGCAAATTCCTGCAATTTCATCGCATAAAATTGCATAAATATCCCGCATATTCCATAGCATTTTTAAAGAAAACGGGCCGTGTAATCAATCAATTTTTGCCCGCAACAATCACAAAAAAACTCCGCGTTTTTCTGGAAGGACTGAATACTAAATGTATTATGTAAATGTTATATATAAATCGCAATTTTTTTCACAAATTTTTGGAAATTACCACCACAAAATCAGTCATTTTGATCGCAAAAATCACAAAAAAAAAAAAATCGTGAAAACCTGGAGGGACTGATTAGTCGAATTTCCATGCATAGTTCTGCCTTGACATGTTCTCATTTGGTTACATTCTGTTATGGAATATTTGTTATTGATTGCATATTTTTATCGCGTTTTATTCATATCCATTTTGCAGGTACAATACAAGTTTATATTTTGCTTCCTAAAATATTCACACAATGTCACACAATGTACATGTAAAATAGTGCCCTGTTGAAGTTTTGCTACATTTTATTTATTGTTTTCTTCATTTTTATTTATTCTTTAAGGGGATACACTGAATTTTGGTGAATAAGAGGACCTAGTTTATTTTTATGCACATAGTTAGCTGGAATGTAGCACAATATGGATGTGAAAGCAGTTATAATTAGCCTATGTGACCAATAAAATTAGTTTTAATTAAAATCAACAAATAATCATGATAAATAATTGTGATCTCAATATTGATCAAAATAATCGTGATTATCCTTTTGGCCCAAATCGTGCAGCCCTAACTAAGGTCATTCTATACTTGCGGTTTTGTGGAACGTGTCCATTCAATGAAAGTAAATGGGGTCCAAAACACATTAGACCCCAGTGACTTTCATTCAATGCTACCATTCAAAAGTTTAAGGTCAATACACAATTGACATCTCGAAAGCATCGTAAGATAACATTGGGTGTAAGATCTGTCGTTATCAGTATATTCAACGAGTCTATGTTTCACGAAACCATAGTTTCAACGAACTAAATGATTGAGCGTGTTGCCCCTTACAAAGCTGCCAGTATCAACACACTATTAACTAAGTTAACCAGGCCCTGCCTCTTTATTTTGCATATGCCTTGAATTATTGAAATGAAGAAAACTGAGACACGTTTCTTCAGGGAATTCAGAAACAGTGAAACTGATCTCATTCAAACTGCAATGCTACACACTAAAGTCAAAAATGTAAGCGTAATAGACGGCAAAACTGTACTTGAAGACCACCACGTGTCTTTGACGGCACAATACACACATTTAAAATAAATACGACAAAATAAACAGGCTCACAGGCTCGGTCTTCACCAGCAAACTCTTTATCCCCATTCTTGTGGCCTGTGTACTCTATTCTTTGCACAGCGATCTCTAATATCAGTCCAGCGTGACACGGCGCTCTTCTAAAACCCTGTCTCGTCACTCGAGCGTGAGGCCATCTGTAGAGCTCCAGGATTTCATTTCTGATGCTCTGCCCTCCACACTCCTGCTAACTTGGGCGAATTCCCCACGAGGGCTCGATCAAGTCCACAATCTAAGTCTGTAATGCAGTCCTGGGCTCATGATGATAGCTGTTATTACATATGGGACTGTATTGTTTGCTCTGATGATAAACCAGTGGAAGTGGAGAGACAGTGAGTGTGTCTGTCAGCGTAAAAGAGAGAGAGTTTGTTTCACCCTCTGGATTTTTTTTTTTTGGTGTGTATCTGTGAGGGACGTGTTTGTTTTGTGCCTCTGTAGCCAGACACACACACAGAAAGACTGTTTTTGCTTCTGGGAATCTTGAGTCATCCACATTTTCTATGAGTCACATCTGAATAATCACCCAATACTAGAATGTAAACACCACAGTTCTGCCAGAAGAAATTTTGGCCGTATTCTCCATGATAACTTATCATATTTGAATATACCCCACGAGAGGATAGATAAAAGAGCCTGTGTGTAATTTATTACAGCTGACATGTTGCAAATATTTGCCTGCAATATTTAAAATTACTGTGTCTACAACCTTGGTTTAATTTTAATTAAGCTCCAGATATAACTCTTCTGTTTTATTCTACTCTGTTCTTTTCTGTTCCTTCATTTAACAGATGTTTCGTTGCACCTTCCTCCAGAAAATGGTCCGATCTGACCATTAAAAATGTATATTTATAATATACAAAATAATATTTTGACTGGCATAAAACCAGTTAATTCAGATGTTACCACATTAAGATCCTTCTTTGGGCTTCATTAGAATTAAGATTATTTGAAAGCACATCTCCAGTACGTTTGCTTCATCAAGAATGGAATGGAATATAATGGAATGGAATGGAATGGAATAGAATAGAATAGATTAGAATGGAATGGAATGGAATGGAATGTTTGCAGTTACAAACCTGCAAAAAACAATTTCAGATGGGCAATGGTCCCCATGCAAAGAACTCCCACAAATATATTGAATATTGTGCAAAAGTTCATTTATTTCAGTAATTCAACTTAAAAGGTGAAACTAATATATTATATAGACTCATTACATGCAAAGTGAAATATGTCAAGCCTTTATTTCTTATCAATTTGATGATTATGTGGACGTGGCTGTGGTTACAAGAGGTAAAAACGATATGAATACTGCTCGTTTTCGCACACAAACTGCTTGTTTCGTGTCTTAGGCCTTCAATGTGTACTTACATTTACGAGTCATTAAATCATGTTTAATTTGGACTTCTCTGTCCATGCTCTTTGAGGTGGTGACCATAGACCTCCATTATATGACTGACAGACAAGAACGGTTTGACCTAAAAAATATCAAAATTTGAAAATACTGTGCCCTGGATGCCCTTGAGGTAAGCTAAAACATATCAAAAATTAATTTCAAAGTGAACTATCCCTTTAAAGGACTAAAAAACACACATCAAAGATGCTAAATGTTACCAAGTGCCATTTCCCAGCAGAAAAAGGCTCGTTTCTTGACAGTGAAGTACCTTGACTGTGACTAACACGGGATTCATCGCACTGTACACTTCAGCTGATCCGAGTCCGGCCCAGGAATCTCCCAGGAGAAATCACTTTCTTTTTCATGATGCCGCTTTTAATGAAAGGCTATGTTCATGACGCCTGGTTGCTCATGTTTCGAACGAGTCTTTCATGAATACGTCCCCTACAGCGGGGCAATGTCTGTAATGACATGTTTCTGCTGTGAAAGTTTTGATAAATCCTTTTGAAAGACGCTGCTGACTGATGAGCGCGTGATTAAATCCTGTCTATAATTTATTTGACTGTCAGATGCATTTAATTACGATGGCTCACGGGAGAAAAAAAAAAGATCTAGAGGTGACTTACCACAATCCACAGCACACTTCTAGTTTAACGCTTGTAGACTTTCAGCTTCTCTGCTGTCTCTCCATCTCCTGACTTTCACCCTGCGAACAAGAAAGTCGATATTTTTGAGTTCTCACTTAGCTTTTTCATTTCTTCAGCCAGTTTAAATTTGTTCTTGCATAAAATGCAAAATGTCTCATTCAACCAAATAACGCTATTTAAGGCAATACATGTATCTTGTGGAAAATTATTAATTATCATTGAGTGTTCCAAAATGTTATATAAAATAGTTAAAATAAGAGAGGTTTCAACCAAAGCAACAAAACAAACCGGTAAAAGGTAAGCATATAATAACATAAAGCATAAACATTAAAATGTATAACATATATATACACACACACTACCGGTCAAAAGTTTTAGATTAGTAAGATTTTTTAAATGTTTTTAAATGAAGTCAACAATGAAAAAAAAAAGACAAACAGTAATATTGTAAAATATTAGGACAATTTAAAATGACTGTTTTCTATTTTAATATATTTTAAAATGTAATTTGAAAGCTGAATTTTCAACATCATTACTGTTGCTGATTACACATCAGTTTTCAGTGTCACATGATCCTTCAGAAATCATTCTGATATACTGATTTTATGCTCAAAAAATTATTATTTTCAATGTTGAAAACAGTCATGTACCATTCCCCCCAAAATTCTATAACGAATAGAAATTTCAAAAGAACAGCATTTATTTAAAATATAATCTTTTCTAACATTATAAATGTCTTTACTGTAACTTTTGATAAACTTAACTCATCCTTGATGAATAAAAGTATTTTCTAATTCCTTTCCCCCAAAATAAAAAAATAAATTCTTACTGACCCCAAACTTTTGAATGGTAGCGATTAATGTTACAAAAGCTTTCCATTTTAGATCAATTCTGTTCTTTTGAACGGTCTATTCAAATAAAAATGTAAAAAACTGTTTTCAACATGGATAACAATCATAAATGTTTCTTGAGCATCGTATTACAATAATTTCTGTAGAATCATGTGACACTGAAGACTGGAGTAATGATGCTGTAAATTCAGCTTTGATCACAGGAATAAATTACACTTCACCATATATTCACATAGAAAACCACTGTTTTAAATTTTAATAATATTTCACAATATTAGTGTTTTTTGTATTTTTTTTAATCAAATAATTGCAGCCTTGGTGAGCAGAAGAGACTTCTTTTAAAAACATAAAAAAATCTTACCAATCTAAAACTTGACCGGTAGTGCATATATCAAACTGGCTGTGAAAAATAAATATGCATTGTTTATCCTTTTGATCTTTCATTCTAAAAATTGTCAGAATTCTAACATTTCATTGAAGTAAAAGAATTGAAAAATAAATGTTTTTTCTCCAAAACACGTTGGCCACAATTATTGGCACCTGTGATGGCCGCACTAGCAGCCAGCCACACATAGAAACTTCAACTCACTTGGCAACTTTCATTTGTTTTGAGCACATTACATATTGTACAAAATAAATAACTGGACACATACACATATATAGTTTTAAAAAAACGTTTTATTAGTTATTTGACTTGGTTTTTGTTATGGGTGTTTGGGTGCACACATTTAGTTAACTTTGTCAATTTAGCTAATTTCAGGTTCATTATCTTTAAGTTACGTTCTGTGAAGTTAATACCTTTTCTTTGAGTTACCAGTTCCTGGGGAGTTGATGTTGGCCTCCGGCTGGGTGACAGACAAAAGGGTTTGCAACTGACTCTCAGCTGTTTAAGTAGGGGAATGGCTAGGCTAATTGGACTGCACTATGTATTCCCATTTCATGGGGGTGGTAGAGTATTACATTTTTGAGTTTTTTGTTCTTTTTCTTTGCTATTTATACTTTGTTATGATTTATTTGATTGATTTGTCCTTAGTTCATATATGGTATAGCGTTGGTTTGACATGTGTTGTAATTATTGTGGTTTGTTTATATACTATGTGTTTGTCTACCCCCTTCTGTGTCAGAATGGCCTGATCAGCCACTTCCCCATGTCTCAGTTTAGATACCTGTTTTGTTTTGTTTTGTTCATCCTATGTTAAGGGTATAGTTCTGTTTAGTTGACCTCTTTTATGGGCCCAGAACTTTCTGTTTTTTTGTAAAATAGTTATTTTTTTTGTTTTTGTTTTGGAAATAAAAACGTATATTTTTGAAAATATACTTTTTGACTCCTCATGCCTGCCAGCTTGATCCCTCACAGCACCCCTAGAATATAATTTTACGAGTAAAATATCTCTGAAGGATATTCCCATTAATATTTACCTTTTTTAGCTCATCAGGGTGACTAGAAACATGAAATTGTCCAGTCATGACTTCTTGTTTCACAGGAGTTTAAATATGAGGAAACACAAATGCCAAATTCCTTTAATCATCCATCACAATGAGTAAAACCAAAGAATCTGTAAGAAAATAGGTAAAGAAAATCCCCATTTTGACCATCAGGACAATAATTAAGAAATTCCAATCAACTAAAGATGAGTGTGTCTATATTGCCTTAATGGACGGTGAGTGTTTTGGAGAAAAACATTTATTTCATGATGTGATTTTAACCCCACTTTCAATTCTTTTACTTCAATGAAAGGTTCGAATTTTGCCAATTTTTTGAATGAAAGATCAAAATGATAAACAATGCAGATTTAATTTTTTTTTCAGCCAGTTTTGATCATATTTACCAGGGGTGCCATCAATTGAGTGTAAATATAAGGAAAACATAAGAAAAAATATGATTTATTAAAAAAAATAATAAATAAACATGCAATAAGAGCAAAGGGAGAGGAAATAATTCATAAATAATTGAACTAATTAGTGAATGAAAGGAACTTTCATTGCAACAGATAAATACTTGCAAAAAGTTGCAAACTTCCAACATCACACATTGACATGCATGAGAATGCTAATGGATAATTGTTGTTCAATTTCAAATATTCGGCAGAATATTGTCATCGAGAATGTTTATGAAATTTAATTCAGTTGTTTTGTTTTTTTCAACCCAGCATACTGGATGAAATGTAATGTCTTTTGACAGAGCACAGAATATTTAGTTTGATGTGAGAAGAACCGAATCAGTTTTGCTGAGTTCAGCGCTATACAGTATGTTTAAGTCTACAGTATCACCTAATTTTGTTCACTACAAGAGAGGCCTTTTGGATTTACAGCAGGTTAAACCGCCTCATCATTCCACATAATGTTATATGGCAGAGTGCTAATGAATATGTTGAAAACAATTTAAATCACACAACATTCTAATTATCATCTCCTCACAATAGTTGAGCGTGTACACAGTATTTCAGTGAGCTGTTCCGCCTCTCCTCCAGACGCCTCCCACCCGACGCGCACACATTGTAACGATGTGAGTCTCATTTGCTAACACAAAGTCACACATTATTTCTGAAACATCCTGCAAGATGAAACTCGTACTGAAAACAGAGGCCGCTGCTCGGTTGCTGGGATGCCGCCATATGGCGGGACCCTCATTTGCATGTTTGCCTCATCAGAGCTTCATCTGAGGCGCACAGAAATCAGAACCAAACTACTATGATCATTGCCTCAGAACAACAATATTCCATCATTACACTAATGGCTTCCGTTGCAGGCCACACAGCGGTTCTGTCATCAAGGGGAAATCATATTGTTGTTGCCATTGCATGATAATGCATTTTGCATTAGACTTTTGAAATAATCAAAATAAAGTAATAGTGAACTAATAATAATTAGTTTGCCCTCAAAAGTCCCCAACTTTGAAAAAAAAAAAAAATGCATTTGAAGCTGCAACACAATTCTGCATTGGAGGAAGTCTGGCTAAAGTTTTACATTTAATTGCTTAAATGGGTCATTTCATACATTTTTAATTATTTTTTCTCTCTCTCTGAAGTCCACTTATATTGCTTTGTTTGGACCAAAAACAAACAAATTAGTTTTACTCTACCATTTTTCATGCCACTTTCTTTTTGTGCACGCTGTGGTACTTTTAAAACGAGAAACAGTACAAAAGAAGGTAAAAATACTACTACTATTAATAATAATAATAATAACAAAATAGAGTTTCGAGATATACATATGTCTCTGAGATAGCAGAATTAGTGATCGACCGATATATCGGGCCGATATTTGCGCTTTTTACGTGTGGAATCGGCCGATACGTGGCTGCGCTCGCCGATATTTTATTTTATTTTATTTCGGCATTATTTATAGACTGGCGTTCACAGGCAGCTCTGTGTTGCTGGAGACGATGCAGTTTATCTACAGTTTAAATATACTGTTTATCTACATTTTCTACCTCACATGTTTTTACTATTTGTTAAATATTGCTTTTTTAAGTTAAATAAATGTTACTTTTACTAAATTGAAACCTGTAAAATTTGTTAACATGTATGATGTAATTTTAAATTGAGGGCGCAAAATGTATCAGCTCCAAATATTGGCAGCCCGTATCGGTCATCGGCTAAGGCTGATGGGAAAAAATCGGTATCGCCACTAAAAAATCCATATCAGTCGATCCCTATCCCACATCAGTCACATCAACGAACAGAAATCATCCAATCACTTCAGGTCCTGCTTACACACTGCACATCTTGCATGTTCAAAGTTATTTCTGACTTGTCTAACCTACTTTTGGAAACAAATGTACTTTGTATTTTGACCTGATTTAGCCTTGCTCTGATTTTAACTTTTCAGATCCTTTGGCTTATCTATTGGGTTTGACAGATGCGCTTTAAGAAAGAAATAACAAAAAAAAGGGAGTTCATATGGATATCTCTGATTTGTAATTTCGGATTTTAGCATCTAAGCAAATTGGAGAACATTTTGAGACACTGTTGAGATTGCAAGCAACTAAAAAAAAAGTTTATACACTAAAGAAGGCCAAAGCTAAATTATCATCCTTCACTTTGCTGAAATCTGAATTTATGTGAACTGGGGAATAACAATTGTTGAATACAAAACTGTTCAATGCAACAACTTGCATAATGGTGTTTTACAAATGATTTAAAAAGCATTGTTTTCTGCTCATGCAAAATGATCACCATGCACCTTACTTTTACTGATGTCTCCATTTAAACTCAATGAATAGCATTGCTGTCAAGTTAAAACAACTTACAGACTTTTGTATTATAGACTTGTTATTCTTCTTTATGTTCTTTCACTCCACCTGCCTATAGGACTCATAAATCGATAATTAAAAGCTTACATCACACAAAAATATGGAGAACCTTCAAATATATGTTGGCCCTTTCCGAAAGAGATGTGCCACGTCACATGAGTGAATAATAATTTCAACTAGATGAACATGGACCAGGCAGTTTCCCCCTGCAACTAACCTGAAGGCTAAAACACAGGCACACACAGTCATTCCCCATGCTGTTCAATTAGCAAATAGTAGATTAGTATCGATTCCTGTGTTTTTCACACTGTGTGAGAAGTTTTGCTCAGCTCATTAAAAAGTTAGCTGTTCTTACTGAAAATGTAATAGTCTACACATTTCCTAATGACAGCACGACACATCTATGAGGGCCACATTTTGGAGCTATTCATAAACCATGAGTCTGTGTAAATCGTCCATAAAATGCAAGTTGTTGCATTTAACTAAATGCCCAGAATTACACAAGAATCATTGTTTAAACAATTGTCGGTTACCCAGTAATTCAACGTTAGACGCAGTGGCGGATTTAGCAAATTGGGGGCCCAAGGCGAAGGTATGTATAATTGTTTTATTAAAAACATGGTTTATCAGCAAATATTGATGTGCAATTCGTTTGATTAATCAATCATAGGTGCATTGAAGAAAATAAATTAACAATGTAAAAAGTTTTTACTCAATAAAGTGAAGTTTCAGCTATATACGGTATCAAATGCAGTGTAAATTTTAATTGTGTTTTAAGAAATATAATTGTTTTAGTGAACTCGAATGAAATAAGTTCAGAGTACTCATAACAATTGTTTTTATTTATTTATTTATTTTTTATAAACTATCGGTAAGCAATCGGTTTCCTCAAATGAAATGAGTTAGGTTGGGTTTTACAGTATATAAGGCAGCTTTTAATATTCAACCATTTATTCAATGCTCTTGAATCCACCCACAAATGAAATATGTTAGTCCTCCAAGACTTGTTTAAGCAAGCACTCATTGTTCTAACCACTCAGCTGGAACTATCTCCAGAAGAATAAATATTTCAGAGCTACCCCTCTGTTCTTAGTGTCCCATCAGGAGCACGCTGGAATTAAAGCCTCTATAATTTGCACAGAGCTTTTCATTTATTAATGCGAAAATAGAGTTCCAGTGTTGGAACATTAATTTGAGGGAGGATTCTTGTTTTCATTATGATTGTGCCGATCCTGCGTTACCTTTCTTTTAATTAACTTCTGCACGGACCTCCCACAACTCAGCAGCTGCACTTTAATTATCTCGCACAGCCTTATCTCTCCCGCATAATCTGTGTTAACAGCAACTTTACAGAACTGTTTAAGAGGCGCTCGTCCTGCACACAGGCGCTGTAATTTACTTCACAAAGTTGGAAGTTTCAGAACATCCTCTTTGTCTTTTATCCTCAGCAGCCTATAATAATACATTACAAGTTAAGTTACAACTTTAAAATTAAAAGTTTTTTGTTGAAAATACAATAGAAAACTATCTCTTTTTTTTTTCTTCTTTTAGCTGTAGGCAACTGCTTTGAAACGGTTCCCGGATTACGGGTCTCCATCAGTGGACTGTTTTCTTCTCTCCTGCTGTTACAGTGACACTGGGCTCTGTCCTGCTGCTACACTTGCGTCTCGGTGACGTCGATGCCCGTAAGCCCTAAAACAACGGAATCGTTATTGTTCTTATACAGCTAAAAAGCCACACTTTTGAACTTTCATAGCGCCAGCCCCATTGACGAATATTAAACTCACACCACTAATGTTGATATTTGGATCAGTGTGTGCATTTCAATTAGGATTTGCATAAGCAAAAGGAATTAAGTGTCAAACTAAAAAATATTTTGATAATCAATGAATCTGTCGAATATATATTGTTTGATCAATTAGATTAAAAAAAAATCGAAAAATTGTTATACTTTAAAAATGTATTCATTTTAAACAATGTTATTCCACATGCTGCCCTCCAAACAATGTGTAATCTAAAGCCTATAGTGAACGTAGTAGGCTCTACATTGTAAGCAAAAAAATAGGGAAAAAAATCATAAAATGTTTCTTGTTATTTCATTATATTAGGCCTACATCAATGATCTATTCCAACAATAGTGACTTTACGGTTACTGATTGCATATATATGATTAAATGTGTAACATTTGTAAACTTAAACTTTAAAGATTTGAGGAAAATGTGCGCTCTGTCTGTTTGACGCGCATGCGCACATTCATTCGAGGCAGTGAAGTTCAACAAGAGTCGCTTATTGTCATAATATACTAAATGGAAATGCTTGTGGGATTTTCTAACATTTACAGATAGGGATATGTAGCCATAAAATCTAAGTAATGCGCTGAGGAATCATGTCAGAGGAGAATATAGCCTATAAACACAGCACTCATCTGTCAAAGCACAGGCACTAGGCGGTAAACGATGCTTTTGTTTGAATCGCTTAACTTATAAATACAAAGCATTCTCATGTTTCTGAAAACTTGGATCATACCTTTCCCGCAGCAGCTCACTCCGTGTCCTCCGCTGTTTTTCATCTTTTGTCCACAGAAATGAGTTATTCACTAATATTGTGAAGCGATGTGACAGGCTGATGGTTTCCCTAGCACAGAGCGCAGAGGCGCGACTAATCGATTATCAGATTCGTTGCCGAAATGATCGACAATAGGCTAATCTATTTTGTCGAATATTTGTTGCAGCCTTAAATGAATAGACAACAAACCAAAAATTTGATAAGTAGGCCATATCTTAATTTACTTATCTTTGTGTCCTTAGAAATCCATAAGATGTTTGTTCCTGAATCTGTTGATCGAATGATTCATTTGGCTCACTTAGTTCAGATACCTGTTGATCGAATGATTCATTTGGCTCACTCAGTTCTGATACTGTTTCGTTTTAACTGAAGCAGTGTTTTAGAACGAACTGGTTTATGGTTTAGTATAAGTTAGTGACTCAAAGACTGAATAAAATCATTACTCACACAAATCGGTCGAGTGAACGATTAACTTAAAAATAGTCATTTGTTTCCTTTCTGAACGATTCTGTGTTTTTAAGCAAATCAATCCATACTTCCTCGGTTAAGTTGCACAATGACAAAATGTCGAAACAGTGCCTCTGGATTACACATCAATTTTGTTACTGAATATTTAAACAAATCAATTGATTTACTATTTTCATAACTGTTGTGAAGAATCATTTTCGATTATGAATGAATCTGTGTTTTAGATCAACAATATTCCATACAATATTTATGATGCATTATGTTTGTTCCTCCATATTAAATCTATAACTTCAAAAGACTGGAAACCGATTCTCTTTAACTACTTTTTATGGTGATTTTTGGTCATTTTGGAGGTCGAAATAAGCCCCTCAGTTCATACGCTTTTGAAACAAGGCTGAGATAGAAAGGTTTTTTATTTTATTTTTATTTTTTTCCCGAGCTGTTCATTTAACGTACATGGCCAGATTTTGGTTGAATGGTCAAGTCTTTTATATTCCCTTTGTTCTTCATGGTTCCATGGTCTCCTGACAGGGGACAAGTGACATCCAGTGGACACCTGCGAGGTCAACCTGAAAAACATATGGTGAAGCGCGTAAAACAGAAGCAGAAAGCAGTTGTTGTTGTTCTTAAGTGTTAATGTTGTTGGTCAGTGACAGAGAATATGTAAAATAGGGACAGGTTAGGGCAAGGTGATGTGATGTTTTTGTAGCTTGATGGGGACAGTGTTGAAAGGGACTGCTTAAGATATGAGTCATGAATATGCAATGTGCTTGTTTCTTTGAACCCATAAGTAGGAAAGTTGAGACTCCTCTCTGATGTGTCAGAAGTTCTTGTAAAACTGGTTTATCAGAAGATAACCATAAACACAAATATATGTAGAAATATAATTTCTCGTCAAGATATAGCCAGACGATGCAACATGATGACAATATTTTGTCAGAGTTTATAATTAATGTCCCCCACCCATTTACTTTGATTCTTAATATTCCAACAGTATTGTTGTTGTTTTTGTTGGTGTTACATCATATATGCCTTTTATTTCCCCTTTTGTCTTTGCACCACATGCTTTATTGTGACATAATTCACAAGCAGCTTTTTTTAAATGAGACAAACTGAGAAATAAAACTCAGATGTTAGTAAAAGTAAATATGATATTTGGATGGCAGGCATGTGATTTACAATTTTGCATAAAGGGTCACATGCCAGGAAATATTCTATTTATCTATCTATCTATCTATCTATCTATCTATCTATCTATCTATCTATCTATCTATCTATCTATCTATCTATCTATCTATCTATCTATCTATCTATCTATCTATCTATCTATCTATCTATCTATCTATCTATCAAAATACAATTTAAGTTAAATTGAATTGCTTTCATTTGGAAAAAAAGCAATGCAGACACATCTACATATACAGTAATATTACTGTCTATCTATGATTTTTTACTAAAATTGAATTAGATTTAATTGTACATGTGTATTTGTTATTAAAGTAAGTATTTTCATTATTCAATAGCGAGCGACTCAGGCTCATAGGGAGTTTTATGTTACAGTCACAGTCACTAAAGTTTGTTTTCACACACGGTTTGAAATGCTTTCCTTGTAATTAATATTTCATGTTGTTTGTAAATTGTACAACTCTTTCGCTGAGCAGACTTTATCCCTGGCCCACTAAAGCAGGCAACCTCCATTCACAATAAAATAAATGAATAATAGATTCATAGTGATGCATTGTGGACTCCAGGGCCCAAGGCATTGAGATTTGGAGGTAAGCGCAAATTTAAATGAAAACCTGCGAGCTCATAATTAACTCGAGCTGCAATGACCGAATCAGGGTGAATATAATTTCTCGGTGAACTTTAAGATCTTAACTTAGTTTGAGGAGAACTGCTCCAGCTACGTGAGGTCGATAAATCCAACTGCATCAAGTCCCGTCTTACAATTTAATTAGCAAGTTATAATTAACAACTAATGTCTAGTCTTTTAAAGTGGTCTATTATTAATTAATAGTGATTATGATTATATTATTGAAGTGACCACTGTGAGAAATGTACCATATGTGTAGGTTTAGCTTGAAACAGTGTTTTTTCATGAAGGGTTTGCCGCGAAAGAAAAAAAAAAGCGATAAGCCACTTGTCGATAATTGCATGCACAATATTCTCTTCCCTTCATGTGCATCTGACCCAGCTAAACTGACATTTCACATGTAGAATATGTTTAATTTCATGCTGAACATATTCAATAACTCTTGTCATTTCAATAATTTAATAACTCGTCATTTTTAATGGAACAAAGACCTTTAATATTCCTCTGATGGGACATGCTTTTCAAAATCATATGCAAATGACATTTTTTGTTTAGCAGTGTATTGCCGAATGTCATGAAAGGCAATTGGGCGGTCCAGTGGCCTACTAAATGTTATATTTCTTGGATAAATATCAGCAAATTCGCTGCCTCCTTGGTGATGATTGCATTTAATAAGTCTTGACTTCAATAACATTTGTGATTCATATGAGTGTCACCATCATTGTGTTTAGTGTGTGAAATGAGATATGAACAGCTTTATATGCTTTTCTTTTATTGTAGGATACTTCATGTGCAGTTACATCTATACAAGGTCTTACTATGATAGCAAAAAGCAATAAAGAGCACCTCAACATACTGTATGGATCAGAACCACTGCAAAACCCACCAGACATGCAGTTTATTTGAACATTACACTATGGTTTAGTTCAACAACAATGTGCATTTTGCTTAGCTTAGCTTCTAGACAAATAAAACAAGGGTAATTTGACCTGTTTAGTGATAGATTCATATAAATTAACACATTTAATGTTAATATCTCTTAAATCTTTGTTTTTCTGATAAGTTTGGCTGATTTGTAGAGAGCTAGCATGTGTCGTAGCATGCCTACGCAAGTAAACCAATCTACTTCCTGTTTTGCTTTCATCTTGGAGGGATCCCATCTCAATTTTGTTGCTGCCTCTGGCAGTGCGGTTTCCTGTTCTGACTAATGCCGTTGGATTCAGTGTAAAGCATTAACCTAATGTTTCCCTGAAGTCACAAAGTGAGTCTTTTGCAATCCAGCCAATGGTAAAGCATGAGACATAAAATACACCAGAAAGTTTTATTTCCATTTTCATGAGTGAAACTCAGATCTCCACAGGAATCAAGACTGATATGATAATACTCATCATAAGGGCATAACTCAAAACTGGATGTAATTTGGTGCATCTAAATTTCAATGGCAAAAGTTCAAATGGCTGTGAAATTGGACCTAGTATTACAACAAACAAAGTTATAACTTTGTTTCACATAGTAAATGGCCACAGTCCTTAAAGGAACACTCCGACTTTTTGGGACTTTAGCCTATTCACCTTACCCCCCAGAGTTAGATAAGTCCATACATACCTTTTTCATCTCCGTGCGTGCTATAAGTCTGTTTGACGCACCCACCGCTAGCCTAGCTTAGCACAAAGACTCGATGTGACTGGTTGCAGCTTTCATACTGATCCAAATGAGTGGCAAAATAACGCAAACGTTTTCCTATTTACATGTTGTGATTTGTATAGTCACATAATGTACAAATAACAAAGTCAAATGAGACACAGACATCTTTTAACCGTATAAAACCTGGGAACTATTCTCTGAAGGCGAAGCACTGCTACTTTGACGGCGTAATAACCGCATCACCGGAGACACGCCGTGGTGAGGAGCGGAGAGTTCGCTCGGTGTTTGGGTAATAGAGTCAGCAATTTATAAATAGTAAAAGCGTAGTTTAGAGTCATGGGTTTTCGCTCTATTGTAAATAGCTGCGACTGTAAACAGGGGAGGTAACCATGTTTCACAGAATTCCAACTAAAAACGCTGACTGGATGAAGAAATGGCTAACTTACTCTGGATATTTATCCAAACACACCTAAGATTATGTTTGCTCGGTACATTTCAATGAGGACGACTATTTTGAAAAAATGGAATTTGCCACACGGACCATAATGTGCTGAAGGATACGGCCATCGGAGAAAAAGACCATTTAAAACTTATTTTGAGGTAAAGTCATCAACATTTTTCAGCGTTTTTTTTTTTTTCATATTTTACTGCTGTTTCTATACAAGCAGTTTTTATGTCCCGGTGACCAGTGAAAGTGCAGTTCTGACTCTCTGCCCATTCATTTAGATAGGAGCCTGGTCTTGTTAGCCAAGATGGCGTAGCCTAAAAGGACTTTGCTTAAACTCCCATAACTGCTATTTGAATGTTACAGGATGTTTAATTCATATTAGACATCTGACATGATGAATGAACATTTGGCGAGAGCAATGACCCCATGTAAACAACCGTTCCGGACACAGACTCACCTTCAACATGCAGAGGTCAAACCCCTCAAGCTGCTGATCTCTGAACAATTCAATGTTTATTTGTTATGATGACAGTTCACCTACGGCTTAAAAGACATACATTAAGCCCACATTGCAGCTTATACAGACAATTTGGCAATCCTAAACCGGTGATCATGAAGCGAAAGCGTTTCGTCCACCTCAGTTTTATGTTTGTCCACACAGTGACCTGGTCAAATATGAGCCAGAGCACATTTGATCCCAGATCAGACAATGTGGCGCTCAACGGGCCTGGTTATAAATGAACATGTCGACATCTAGATTTCTATTTTCACTCCAAATAGATTGATGCTCATTTAAATCACATCGGAGGCACACAGGCGGTAAACTGGAGACCTACCCCAATTAACTTCAACACCCCAATGACACCCGCTCAAGTACACATATCAGAACTAAGCTATCAAGCACACTGTCTATTTCTCTCTCTCTCTCTGTCAAAGCTCTCCTATTAATACTGTGGCCTAATTACACCAGTTCCCACTGACTGACACAACCAATAACCCAAAAATGCTATTTGACAAAACAATATGCAGCCGCGGCACGTTGCAATGAAGAAATCAATGAAGTCGACTTTTGAAGTCATGCATAAAAAGAAGATTCAAAAAGCAAATCCATGTCATGTGTTTCTTGAAAAAGCTGAAAGTGTTGGATGTAGGATGGTGTATGATTACATATATAATTGGATAGGCATTTACAGCTTTGGATGAAGTAATATTGATCAGCTCTTCTATATGGGAAGATTAATGCATTTATTTGTTCGTTTGAAAACTGAAAGTGAATAAAAACGGCACGCCGGGGGTTTGTCAGCGACAATCATTTTAATGAATGTTTTTTGGTTGAAGTGTTTGTTTAATGAGCATCGAAATGTTAATTGCGGTACAAAAAGCATAATCATGTTTTCCATTAAAAGCGCCGAATAGATAAACAATAACAATAAGCCTAAATTGTCTGCAAAGTGTGATTAGGAGATCCTAAATATTTGCCATCGCCGTTCACTGTATAGCACTTAATTTCTTTCTGCTTTATGACTTTGAACATCTTTAATAAATGCTTCTCATGCTGAATAAAAAAAAATGATTAGTATTCATTGGGAAAATATATTTGTGAGCTCTTGTCAGGCCTATGTGTTCGACTCAGTGTGCGATGTTGGCGGATTGTCAGCCTGGGG